CGCGTTGACATTTGCATGCTGTCACCAAGTTTCATTATATATCAGCCGCCTTTTATTGGTTCGAACGACATTCAAGCTCTCCCTATCTGTGTTGCCGGAAATTTCGCCTTCCCTGCTCACCCTGGTTCCCGTGTTGCCGTGGATCCCTCTTTACTTTGACTTTCCGTTATTGGCCAGTTGTTGGTATACTTTATCGACCACACCCGTTATTTTAACAGCTCTCAGTGTAGCATAAATTATGTCCTACCCAGTTATGCGTTTCCTGTCAGGCGTTTTAATATGGCCGGTAGTAATCGTGTTAAGACTAAGCTCCCGCTTTCACCGTCAGTTTCTCAATACGTAACAGAGGCTGCTCCCGAGAAGCAGAATCACGGTGTAATTCCTTATTCTCACTTAAGGGCGGCTTGCGCACTTAGTTGCCTTCTGTGCCGTCGTCCTGTTCAAATGTAGTTTATAGGAGCTTACGATCGTCCGGTCACAGGCCTCTGAAACCCATTGCTTTCCTTGATGTCCCTTATTTTCTTGCCGACATGTATCACCAATCGAGGCGTTTGTGGTGGCTTATCTTTCTGTGCAATACCTCTCAATTTTACACCGAACTGTTATAAAGGTTGACAAATACATTATCTACACATGGTCTTTTTTGTTACGGAATATACGGTGTTAACCGCTTGTCTTCTCCTAGGGAATAGATAGTTACACGTAACATGAAAGAGGGATAGAAAGGCGTACTGTACCACCAGTACGACAATTTACTGTCGGCAGTCAACGGTATCCTTTACTGACAATTTTCCAAACCTTGGTGATCACTGACCATGATTTAAGAGGCGGTTAGGATAGGTATGCAGTCTTTGTGCTGGGCAGCATGATTCTGTTTATTTAGCGTCCATACTAGGACGTTCTTAATTGTTGTGACAAGCTTTTGATATCGCGCAGGTCTTCTATGCATGTGGCGCATCTTACGAAAGATGACCGAATACTTGTTGGGTCAGGTCCGGGCCCTGTCAGTTAAGGTTGGTAATGATCGAAATCAGCATACCTAGCCTAAAGCGTATCGTATGTTACCGTGAAACGTGATGCCAATCCGATCTAACGATTCCGGCAAGGTTTGCTACAGCATGGTTGCAG